TAATATATATAGAATAATTATTAGCAGGTGGCGGGAATCATTCGGCAATGGCGACGGGTGGTGGTGGTCTTTAGCAGAGGGGTGGCTATCACGATCAGCTATCGGAGTGTAAACCACAAAGGGCATCTCGACTATCGCTAGTAATAGGCGGTTGTCAACATCGACAGGCGGTCAGCGTCTGGTAGCAGACAACATCAGGCGGCATGTGAGAGACAAGGTAGCGTGTGACGAAGGGTGGCGGCAATTTATTTTAGGAGGATTGTTGATAACATCTCAAAGTAATGAACTTTATAAATCTTAAATTCGATCAAATCGATCATCGAATTCTAAATTCAACTAAAATAAATCAATATATAAACTTCAAATCCATCCATATTTTATATTGTATGCATAATTTTTAGTATCAAATATTTAATTTTCTAAAATTTCTATTAAAAATTATATTACACTGTACATTTTTTGAGCCCTTTAAAATAAATAAATAAATAAAATAAAATAAAAAGATTCGAAGGCGCATATCATCAACTTAGTACCACTATTTATCTTTCTTTTTTCGGCGTAATTAAAGCCTGCGTTGTGTTTATTGTCGGTCCGAATGCCACCTTTCGCACAAATATCATGAGTGAATGTCATTTGTATTTTATAAAATTTACTTAAATTTCATATAATTCATTGGGATCCGTAAAATGTCAATTGTTCTCATTATTTTTTTTTCATTTATTGACTATTAAAATTAAAAGTACTTTCATTTAAATAAATAGTCTACGGCAAGCTAATCATGGGTTAGCTCCATTAATAATATTTAATGATTAATTAATTAATTAATGACATAAATTTAAATATTTTCATAAATATCTTATTATTAAATGTTATGATATGAACAGCTTGTTTTTTTTAATAAATTTGATAATCTTTTTAAGAATTGAGCTCAAATTGAACTCGAGCTGAGCTCAAACTTCATATTTATAAATGAGCTTGAGCTCGAGCCGAACTTGAGTTAGAAAACAAACTCGCGCTCGAACATGCATTTTTTTCGCAACCCAAATTTCATCATTAACTTAGAATTATTTTACAAGAAATGTGCTACTATGGACATTAGTTCATTAGAATAAGTCTTGAATTTACGGGAAATAAATTGTGGGAATAAAAAATTAGTAAAGATGAAGTGCTTACTTTCATGGAGTTTCATCATTACTTTAGCTGTTGATTTACATTTTTATTTCTTGCTATTCATGAAGTTTAAATAAATTTATGTATATATTCTGAAAAAAATAAAAATTTTTAAGTAGAAAATAATTTAAATGTTATTTATATTGATAGATGTAATTGCATTATATAAAAGCTATTTCTTAAGAGTAAATTCAGACATAACATTGTAAGATTAATTACAACAATACTAATTGATGTGTGCTAGAAAATTCTTAGCGTTAGAGTAACAGACTATCGTCTTAGCGTTGTACGAAAGTTCAGCACAGACACAGATAAAAGAGAAACAAACGGTGATTACTCCAGAAATTTTTACGTGAAAAACCCGTAAGGGAAAAATCACGGGGTCTGACCCAGTTGCGGAAATCTCATATTGATTAATGATTACAGAAATCTCTTGTCCCACAAACGGAAAAATGTAACTATATTTTTTAGATTACAACGTTGACTGACGGTGTCTGGTTGGTGGTGATCGATGGTGGTCAATGACGGTTGGCAGAGGTTGACGACGGTCGGCGGTGGCCTACGACAGAGGTCAGCAGTGGCTTACGACGGAGGTATGCTGCAGCTTCTCTTTAAGGCCTTAAGCTCTCTCTCTAGACCTCAGCTTCCCCTCATGTGAGGGGTGGGGGTCTTTTTATATTGTTCTTGCTGCAATTAATGCAGGAATATAAATCATTTTGATCGGACGGTCCGAAGATCTTCCCTTGATCATACAACGTTTAATGGACATTTGAGTGCTTTAATGATGTTGGAATTGAGTGACTTAGGCTCGTTGGATTCGTCTTTTCAAGCCGCTCGATTCGAGTATATATTTGACATATTTGACAATCGTTTGACCTTCCAAATGTGTTTGGAATCTTCTAAATATGATTCAATGACTTGATTTGGGCTTGATTTGACTTGGGTTTGACTAGTTTTCATATCATTAGGTCCGTCTCTTCAAACCGGTCTGTTTAATTATAAGTTTACTTAAATTGGAGCTCTGGATGAATTTTTATCAAGATCTGAATGTTTCTTATTCAAAATATCGTCTTGGGATTCGTGTAATGTCTCAAGATTCGTGTCGGATGATGAAAATTTGTTGGTGGCATCACTAATCTATTAATAAATTAATAAAGATAGACTATTTAACATTTGGTTTTTTTAATTTCATATACGCTAGATTTGTCAATTAAAATCACTTTATTTTCATTGACTTTTTATTTTTAATTTGTTCAAAAAATATAATTTGTTAAGAGTGTTTTTAAAAACACCAAAAAAAAATTTAAAATTTTTTTTGAGCATTTTTAAAGATAATTTATTTTAAAGTTAAAAATTAAAAGATTGTGAGAAATATTGTAAACAAATATATATTTTTTTTAATTAAAAGGTAAAATTAATGTGTTATCAACAAATTTTTTTTGTCAACCTCAATGCTTTTTTTATGAAGGATTTTCAAATTCAAAGCTAAGATCTTTGAGGAATCCAATTTCTGTAAGCATCTAGTCAAATTAATCGTCTCGATAAGACAAACTTGATGATATCAAAATTGATTTGATATAAATCCAATCAGGCCTAGATCACGCCATTAAAATACTTTCAAACGTTTTGAATGTAAATTAAATTATCACATGAACTTCAAATTTGATATATTTATATTCAAATCAACCATTTTGGCGAGAGGAATCCAATGATTCTATGTTTGCTTAATTCCAAAGTCATTGCAGCCCTCAAATCATTAAAAAAACCTCAATGATCAAGATGAGTCAATATGGGTCGTCTGATCAAGTGATTGGGGATGTTATTTACCAAAAGACCAGAATGCATATTCCCTAGAGGCAATAAATATACCACATATCTTCAGTTGAGGGGGGCATGGAGAAGACCTTCAACACCGCTTGCTGCCCCTGCTTAGTGTCGTGAACGACTCATGTTTGCTAACATCATTTCACAAACAGAGTTTAATGTATAACACCATATCAGAGACCAAACGATAACTTCTGATATTCGTAGCCATAGACCATTGTTGACCATCCTTTATCGGTTGTCATCGATTACCGTCGACTGCCCCTACTCACCTTTGTCGACGACCCCATTTTTTAATGTCATATCTGAAATACAATTGTAATGTAAAACGTTATATTGGAGATCTTGTGATAACCTCCAGCCTTCGTAGCTATCGATTATCAATAAAAAAAAAAGAATTTCATAGACTGAAGACTCGGAGGTAACTTCCGACCTCCCAAGTCGTCAACCATTGCTCGTTTGTCATCATTCCCTTGCTCCTGCTCGCCGCGTCAGTGATCGATGTTTTTTAATATTGCATCACAAATACGGTTGTAACGTATAACACCATATTAGAGACCCAATTATACATTCTAGTATCCGTAGCCACTGATTATCACCGACCACTGCCAATTGGCCTAGAACTACATATGTTATATCTCAATTATAACTATTATTATTAAATTATTATTATCCATCTATGATAAAAATTTTTTGACAATATGAGCAAAAAAAAAAAAGGGTCATATATATGTATGTATGTACGCATTTGCCCTTATTCCAAAAATGCGATTCTGATGATTTTGAAATTTATCAAAACTTCAATGTTTGCAAAAAATATTAAGATATTTAAAAAATTTTACTAAAAATAAAAGAAAAATAATTAATTACATTAAAACCAAAACTTTCAGTATAATAACTAAATTGGAAGTAAAATGAATTTAAGATTCCAAATTACATGGTAACAAATGCTATTTTTTAAAGATTAAATGAGCGCTTGAATTCAGCCCTCTAAAATTATTCATTTTATTTTGAATTACGTTGTAAATGCCATTTTCATCAAGAAAAAAAAAGAAAAAGAAATTTTCTTTTTAATTAAAGTAGAAATTGTCTCCCGGCATTTTTATTTAATTTAATTAAATTTTTTTTTGGGATAATTATATACGGACTAAATATTAATATTTATAAATTAATCGCCCCAGATGATTTTTTTGAACTACTGAATTGTTATAATTGTGCGCTTAAACTATTGGGAATTGATAAGCTGAGCTTTTACCATAAATTTTGATTTTCGAATGAGACTTTGAAAATTGGTTGAAAGAATATGATTGATTTTTAAACGGGAAGGTTCGGGTTATCGGGCTTTTGAGAAATACATCCAAGAAAGTTTTGTCAAGAAGTGATTAGATAGAGAGAGAGAGAGCACGGTAGATAACAGTAAAAGAGAGTTTAACATTTATTCACGATATGAACCTCTTATTTATGACATAGGTCTCAATATTATAAAAATACATATTGGTCCCCTCGTTATTGACTTTTCGGATGAATTTTTTGGTAATTATAGAATTATTACCATATAATAAAATCGGGAGACCGATTTGATCGATAATAGTTTATCAACAGTCATGTGAGCCTTGACTTGATCGATATCTAATTCAAAAGAGAGCCTCCTATTTATGGTCTTGAGGGCTAATCCCTAACTTATGGAAAATCTCCTGGAATGTTATATCGATCGCTCGAATAAGACATCACCCTTGTCAACATCCAGCTCAATACAGCCGTCAACAGATATGCCCGATCATCAATCTCATCCACTTAAAACCGTTCATTTGTCTTGAGATTCGTGCAAACATATTTTTATACGTACGCGCACAATGTGATTGATGGTTTGGGTATTTAGCTAGAGTGCAGGCGGACCACTAGGAAAAGTTTTATTAGGTGAAGTAGCGGAAGACATTTCAGGCCGTTGTTGATCTCCTCCAATTTGAAAGCCTAAGCCAGTAACGCTTACGCCCGAGTAGGCTTTGCTTTTAATTTTAAAATATTCAATCTAAAAATGCAAGCATTTATACCGTCCATTTCTCGTTCACACTCAGCGGATGTCTATTGGCCTTCCAGTCGCTTTTCACGCAGAAAGGTAAAGTAAATTTAACTTTAGCTTCTTCCTTTTTTATCCCAATAAGTAATAAGAAAGACTCCTGCTTCGATACCATTTCAAGTTTTCTTCTAAGAATACTGCTACCAACTGATAGAAAGTACCAGTCCATCTATTATTCTTCTTGTTGCCCTTTACCACTCAGCTTTTATTTAAGATTGTTACCAAGCATTTCATGTCTTCTCATTATCTTCTAGGGAAGAAAGATGAAAAGCCTTCCTATTTGCCCAAAGGATGAGGATTGGGGATGTAATGAAACAAGTTATGATCCATCTCAGGATTTTGCTTTGGTAATCCATCTACTCGATCTGCTTACAGTTTTTTATGTTTATATCATGCTTTGGCAATTCATTTGCTCCTTTGTAATCAGTTCTTACAGGAAGCAAGAAAGCATGAATTCCAAACCAAGTTGCAATCTTCACCCGCGAAGACGGACGAAGCTGGGAAAACTCGTAAGAGGAAGAATTCATGGAAGAGTTCACTATCATTCTTATGGCGGAAGTCTGATAAGAAGAGCTCAGCTCAGAAAGTGGAACATAGCAGGATGAGCAGTTCACATTCAGGGCCATTATTTGGTGGAAGAGGAGGAGCAGCCACCCTTCTTCGCCGAAGCACTCGGCGGCCGGTTTCGGGGCCACTTTCTGCTTGGTTCTCGCAGACAAAGGAAGGGGAAACAGAGAGTGCTTACATGTGTCTTGGTGGTAGGAATAACCCTTCTTGTTCTCATGCTTTTGGTCCTATCTATTTGGTCACATGAGAGCTCAGACGTTTCGTCGAACACTTTTGATGATCAGAGATTTTTACATGTTTGTTTTTCTGCTTTGGATTTTGTCAGTCTTTTGCATATTCGCATGGGTCCAATATTTCAGAATCTGACAATTTGTTGTAATATGGGTGTGGTGATGCTTCAGCTTTGACGGGTCATATCTCCTATGTGTGATGTTACTTGGCGTGCAGCATTATTTGTTCTGAATTTGAGCTGAAATATCTATTTACAGAGATCATCTAGTTATTCATTCTGCTTTTTGTGTTGTTTATGGCTGTAAAATATGGAGGAATGGGGCAGGACATGAAAGCCTCTTTAGAATATTGCTTTAGGGTAAATGAAGTAGATTTTTAGCAGATGTTATTATAATTTTTCAGGTTTATTTGTAATTTGTATAGGGACAGCTATCCCATTCATATAATTAAGGATATTATAAGCTATTAAAAATCGATTTAGGATTCCTAAAAACCCACGGTTTTGTCTCTCCTGCTCTATTGTGTCAAATCTTAACCATTACTCAAGACTTCTCATATTTCACGTCGTTTTAATGGATCTGTTTTTCTCCTCTCAATCATTGGAGTATAGAAACAAAGAAAAACAAGAGTATAGAAACAAAGTAAAACAAACGCCAAGTGTATTAATTTTTTGAATAAAATCAACAATGTAAGAGAAAAAAATTGGTAAAATTGACAAAATGAGGCAAAATAAACAGAGGCAATAGTGATTGTTAGGATTGTTTGGAGTTTAAAACTAGATAAATAGTAATGTCTCTGATTTAATTCTCTGGTTTAAATAAAAGGGGCAATTACATACAGACCACCCAAACGTTTTATTTATAAATTAACCGTTATTTTTCATTTATTCTTCAAATTCTCGCATAAATAGCAAAATTCATGATAAAATCCCAACTCATATTTTCGTGTTTATCCAATTCTCAATGGTTTAGTCGCAGCACCAGTCAATACATCGATACGGTAGATTTGAAAATCAATATTTCAAGAAATAATAAATCTTCTTATTTTAAACGGAGATAATAGATATTATTTTTATTTTTAATAAATTAGAATAAAAATTTAGGGTGCATGAGCCTTTCAAAAAAAAAAATAAAAAAAATAAAATTAAAAAAATATAATAATAATAATAATTTTAAAAATAAGTTTACTCTTACATCAACATATATGAGTGCTGAATTTTAAATTAAAAAAAAATATGCTTTATTTCTAATATATTTTATGTCTTAAAAGCCCGTTTTTTATTAACTCAAATAAAATTTAGTATTTTATTTAAGAAATATTCATTTAGATCAGACATTTTTTTTTTTGTAGATTTTTTCTTAAAAAGGGAATTTTATTTAAATTTTTTTAAGGAAAACAGCAAATTTTAAAATTGAGCTTATTTTGAAAGTATTGAAATAAGAATTAGTGTATAGAATCTCTTTTAAAATTATTAAGCTTATTAAATCAGAATATATAATGATTTTAAGAGCTGTTGAAATATTATAATAAATATTTTTATTAAAATTTTATAAAATTTACTAGTTGTCATCTTAATTCAATTTAAATCTTGATTTATAAATTTTACTATTTTTTTTTTTTTTTTTTAATTTGTTGAAATAAATCTTCAAAAAATTCTCTTTGATTAAAAATGAATGTTTCTTTAATAAAATTCTTAATCCTTTTTGAGTTAATAAAAATAAATTCTTAAGACATTAAAAATTTTCTTGTTAGTTTTAGGTATTTTATAAGTTTCTTTATTGTAATTTTGCCCTCATCTAGACAGGGTTTACACGGAGTATTTTAGGTATTTTATAAGCAACGACTCATTATCTAGTCATTTTTGGCTTGGTCATCCTAGTTAGTTCGGCTAAGTGGCTAAGCTTGGTCGGTAAGGCTTGAATGACTTGGCTCATTCGGTAAAACATGGCGGGCTAAGAGATTCAACTTTTGACGAAAAGTCTTTTAGTCTCCGTTGGATGGTCGAGGATGCTTTGTCCAATCGGCCCTTCCCTCGGGTGAGCTCTCTTATGAGATAAGCTTCACTATTGAGTCGACTTTTTCTTGGTTAAAAGATTCATATATCTTTTTGGTGAGTTGGGTAAGTTGTTGTGTTGTTACCAGTTAGCCATCCTCATGTCAATTTTTGACTCAGTAAGCTTGGCTTGCCCCAAACTTTTTATTTACTAATCAACCGGTATTTTTCATTCATTTTTCAAATTCTCTCATAAATAGCAAAATTTACCGTAAAATCTCAACTCATATTTTTAATATTTATCGAATTCTCATTAGTTTAGTTGCATCACCAGTCAATACATCGATACGGTAGATTTGAAAATATCGATATTTCAAAAAATAATAAGTCGTCTTATTTTAATCGGAGACAATAGATATTATTTTTATTTTTAATAAATTAGAATAAAAATTTACGTGAGGTAGCCTTTCCACAAAATTTAAAATAAAAATAAAAATATATAATAATAATAATAATTTTCAAAATAAGTTTACTCTTACATCAACAAATATGAGTGCTAAATTTTAAATTAAAAAAATATGCTTTATTTATAATAATTTTATGTCTTAAAAGCCCATTTTTTATTAACTCAAACAAAATTTTGTATTTTATTTAAGAAATATTCATTTATATCAGACTTTTTTTTTTTGTAGATTTTTTTTTTAAAAAAGGGAATTTTATTTTAAAAAATTTAAGGAAAACTGCAAAATTTAAAATTGAGCTTATTTTGAAAGAATTGAAATAAGAATGAGTATATGCAATCTCTTTTAAAATTATTAAGCTTATTAAATCAGAATATATAATGATTTTAAGAGCTGTTGAAATATTATAATAAATATTTTTATTAAAATTTTATAAAATTTACTAGTTGTCATCTTAATTCAATTTAAATCTTGATTTATAAATTTTACTATTTTTTTTTAAATTTGTTGAAATAAATCTTCAAAAAATTTCCTTGATTAAAAAAGAATGTTTCTTTAATAAAATTCTTAATTCTTTTTGAGCTAATAAAAATAAATTTTTAAGACATTAAAAATTTTCTTTTAATAAAGCATAAAATTTATTTTCAAAATTTAGCACTAATATATGATGATTTAAGAGTAGGGCCCCCACCTAAATTCATGTAGTTTGACCTTTTACCCCCTTCTAAAATACAATTTTACCCTTCGTTGGTATTGCCTATGTTTATACCCAAGAGAATCAATATTATATGATCTTAAACCCCAGATAATCCTTTTATCTCCATTTAAATCCCAGAAAATAGGTATTTTCTAGGCTTATACTCACACAATCACTATTATCTCCATTTATATCCCAAGCTTTTGATTTTGCTAATTTGATTTAATACTTCAGTTTTGTTAAAAAACTTAATATCTACTACGATTAAAAAAAATCCTCAACATAAATAACATCATAAAATAAATCCTGGATATGAAGAATGGCAGCAAAGAGTGACGAAGTTCCTAAAATATATTAATTTTTTAGGTTTATGAAGCTTGA